GGAAGAGTTTGGCCAACTCCATTGTTGTCTCCTGTTCCAGTGTTCAAATTGTCATCTGCACCACCTGGCTTGGGACCTCTCCTCCTTTCCCTGACTCTGACACGCACTCCCAAGCTGCACAGATCATCCTGCAGTGCAATGAAGGATCTGTGGCCATGTTCTACACTGCCCTCGGCTACATGGGCTTCCTGGCTGCCGTCTGCTTCACGCTGGCCTTCCTGGCCAGGAAGCTGCCTGGGGCCTTCAATGAGGCCAAGCTGATCACCTTTAGCATGCTGGTCTTCTGCAGTGTCTGGGTGTCCTTTGTGCCCACCTACCTGAGCACCAAGGGGAAGTACATGGTGGCTGTTCAGGTCTTCTCCATCCTGGCCTCCAGCACTGGGCTGCTGGGCTGCATCTTCCTTCCCAAGTGCTACATTATTCTGGTGAGGCCTGATCTGAATACAAAGGAACATCTCACCACAAAAGCTAAAGACAGCATCTGATTTATACAATGTTCCTCTAAATGTTGAGGATTTATGCCCAGCAGATCAGTCCTAAGACTTGCATCTTAGTCTTGGGAAGGTTGGCCATTTGTCAGAGCAAATCCCTTCACACATTAAGTCTTAGTAGGGGAAGTCAATTCTTAAGACCTCTGCACTGGCCTTGGGCCATAGTTACTGTATTTTTCACTCTATAAGATGCACTTTTTTCCCCCTCAAAAGTAAGGGGAAATGTCTGTGCGTCTTATAGAGTGAATGTGTGCATGCCCGACGCCCGGGATGCTGCCAGCCCGCCTGTACCACGTGGCACCACCTGGCCAGCACACACTCGGCGTGCGCTGCTCCACCCCCCACCCTCTGGTGCAGGTGAGAGCTATGCCGCTCAGGGGGAGCGGTGCAGAGGAGGAGAAGCCGTGGGCTTTAACCCCCCGGCCACACGGAGAGACGGACTGCTCACCCCCACCACCTGGGAAGACCTGCTGCCGCCCGGAAGACCACCGCTGGCACGCTGCCAGCCCGGCTGCACCAGACCTGGCCGGCACGTGCTCAGCGTGCCCTGCTCCACCCCCCTCCTCTGGCGCAGGTGAGAGCTATTAATCACAGGTCGGTGTGTGTTTTCAAATGGCAACCCGTCTTTTAATGAAGCCCACAGGGAAGTGATGGGGAATGTGCCCATGATTATCAGGAAGCTTTCCATGGATCCCTCCTCTAAAAACTAGATGCATCTTATGGTCAGGTGTGTCTTATAGAGCGAAAAATATGGTATTTATTCACATTTTCCATTTACACACCATTTTATTAGCCTGCACTTGAGTTCTCTTGCGGAAACATCAAAACAGAATAACATATTAAAATCTATAAAAAATTAACTAGTAACAGTAGCATCCAAAAATCAGATTCAACCAATCAATATCATCACACACAAAAATCTAAGTTTTTTAAAAATTAGAACCGACAACTGCAAAACAGGAAGAGTGTAAAGGCAAAATCAAAATTGTCACTATTAAAAGAGTGACAATTTTAACCATTAAAACAGCCGGAGAGAGGATACATCTTTGCCTGGCACCAGAACAATAACAATGATGGCAACAGGTGCTCCTCTCTAGGGAAGCTATTCCAGAGATGGGGTACAACCACCAAGAAGGCCCTTCTAGCAGTCATCCCCCTCACCTCCTTAGGAGAAGCTCCTTGAGAAGGACTTCCTGTCTGGATGTTAGCAGACAGGCAGAGACATATAGGAGAAGGCAGTCCTTCAAATACCAAGCACCCAAGTTGTTTAGGGATTTATCTGTAAGTACTTTAAATTGGCCACGGACTTCAAGATAGCTGACAGGAAGTAGCTAGATGTGTTCAAAACCTGGTGCTAGAGGAAAGGTTTCAGAATACCCTGGGCTGGAAGAGAGACAAGCGTGTCCTAGGCCAAATCCACCCAGAACGTTCCTGGAAGAAGAGCTGAATTAAATGTGAGGGGTTTTTTGTTTGTGATACATTTTAATGTACTATTAAGCATTAACATTAATAAATTTTCAATGTTTTGAATGTTATTTTTGGTAGAAAGACAGGTTTGAAAAGGAACATGAATGGTGGTTAAAGTGGACTGGGGACCTGGGAGACCTGGGTCCTAGTCCCCACCCAACCATGAAGTTTCCTGGGTGATTTTGGCCCCGGCACAGATGGTCAGCCCAACCTACCTCACAGGGCTGCTGTTGTGATGATAAAATGGCACCATGCATGCCTCCTTGGGATCCTCACAAGGGGATGAAAAATAGAATGTAAATGTAGAAGTAGTAGTAGTAGTAAACTGTTCTCCCGTTTGCTCCTTGTAAAAAAAATGAAAGAGCGTAGCAGCAAAATAAATCCTGCTGGGAACAGATCCTCCTGCATCTCCATCCAAATGAGTGATCATTTTTTGACCATGCCAAATCAAGCAGGACAATGTGCCATTTGCAGCTCTGACTTTTCCACCTTCGCAGCCCTACCAGCCTTCTTGACCAACAGGCAGGTTGGGGAACACACGCCTCTAGTGTGCAAGCTTGGAAGGATCTTTCCCCATTTCACCTCATTTCCCAGGGAAAGCAAGCGAGAGCCCATTGGAATGAAAGTGCAAATGTAACCTGGATTGACAGTCCACGGTCTGGAGACAAGGCTCTCCTGTCTCTAGGTGGTGGCCAGGAAGAAAAGCCCATGTTCATCCGTGGAGGTCTTATCCTGTGGTGTTATTTTCATGTTTGAAACATTTACGTATCATGCTGTGAATGTGCAGAGTTCCTTGAGCTGCACAGTCCCCTGATGTGGGCCCCAAGGTCCAGCCCTATCTGCACTCCCACAGAGAACCTCTAATTTCTGTCTGTTCTCACTTCTCAGACAGAAAACTCCCAAGTGCATCCCCCATCGAGCAGGAGCCTGAAATGGGCATGGAGTGGATCACAGAATCCTTGAGTTGGAAGGGGCCAGAGGACCGGTGGATTGAACACCCCCCCCCCCTCAGTGCAGGCCTCCATGTTGAGCCAGAGTGCCTCTTGATTGGGGAAGCCTTCCACCTCCCTAGAATATTGGTTCCATTGGCGGACGGTTGACACTCATGTTTTTCCCCATGCCCTGCCAGAATGTGGCTTCCTGCAACTTGAGCCCATTGTTCCCTGTCCTGCACTCTGGGATGAGCAAGAAGAGATCCTGCCCTTCCTCTTTGTGGAAGACTTTCAAGTACGTGTAAAATGCTGGGCCATCTCCCCTCAGTCTTCCCTTCTCCAGTCCAAACATGCCGAGTTCTCTCAATCTCTTCCCACGGGGCCTGCAGCTCCTCGACCACGAAGCCCACGGGGCCGATGCCGGGGTGTTCTCAGCCGATGGGGAGGGGAGGGCACAGAGAGGATCCGCGCAGAGCGTTATGAACATGGCCGAGCACTCGGGCTGCCCAAGAGATACTATTCTAGAGCCGCAGATCTCGAGGGGGCCAATTCCACCTCACCACGCCATTGAGGTTTCAGAGGGGCACGTGCTGCCGCTGAAAGGCGTTCGGGTGCGGGAGGCGAGACGGGATGGAGGGGGACAGGGAGCGCGGCTCCCGCGCAGCCCGCCAATGCTGCGTGCCCATGCCAGGCAGGACCCCCGCGGACTCCCCTTCCTCGCGAATCGGGGAGGACGCTGCCCCTCCACGAGCTTCCCTGGCTGGTGCGTGGAGAGCAAGTGGGGTGCGGGAGTGGGGGCGGAGGGACCCCGCCGCCTGATTTGGGGGGAATTGGGGGAAGGGGCAGAGCCCCTCCGCGCCCTTCCCGCCATCCCCTCGCTGCTCTCCATCTGCGAACGAGGCTCTCAAATCCCGCGTGCGGCTGTGAAATCTGCCCATTCCCCAGGGCGCGTGCAGGGAGGGCGCAGCATGCCAGGAGAAAAGGCAAACGCTGCTGAAGAGCGTTCAGGCGGGCGCTGAAGGGTTAAGGGCACCGATGGATTCCTAGAGCGGCCCGCAATGGGGCCCAAAAGCGGAGCACTGCCCCGGAAGTGAAGGACGCCTTGGTAACCCCGCCAGTGGGAAGTGGAGGAACCGTTTCTGGGGTTCGCGTCTCGCTCCTCCCGCGGTCCTCCAGAGTCCCCCGCTGCGGCCCCGCGAGGCGGACCGGTAGGGGAGCCTGCGCGGCGTCTTGGTTGGGTCGGGCCGAGGAGGCGTGGGCGCTGGCCTCTGCGGCGCCCGGGACGGCGGAGACCACCGCCTCCATTCCCGGTAAAGCCCCGGCTTCATCTCTGCAGAGCCTCTGGCCCTTAGCGACATCAGTGTTGCGCCAGGTGGCCCGCGCGCCTGAGTCGGGTGCAGCAGCGATTAGATTTGTTTTTCGCAGGCTAGCCTACCTCGCCGGCTTGTTGTGAAGAGAAAGCGGAGGTGTTCTTTGGACCACTCTGAACTCCTTACGGGAGAATAATAAAATAGTCACAGTACTAGAGGTGTAAGATATGCAAGTCTTTTGTGGTGGAGTGGAAAAGCTGCTCTGCAGCCAACTTAGGAATGGGGTGGGGGGGGCTGTAAGGGGACAGCTTTAAGGCTGGGTGTGAATAGAATGGTCTGGAAATGTGTTTGTTTCCTTATATTTTGCTACCCTGCTTTGCCTTACTCAGAAGAATAGTGTGTTGAGGGGTGATAAGAACAGGATTTTTTAAAATTAGATTTTGAAAAGCCAAGAGCCCTGCCTCCACAGTCATCAGTGGTTGAAAAGATCCCTGCCTTAATGTTTGATTTTTAAAAGAGCCCTGTCTCTACAGTTGTCAGTGATTTGAACAAGGGAGCAGGTCTCCTCCTTCAGTGCATGCTTAGGACCTTCCCTTGTCTATCAGAGAATTTGCAGCTGGGTGGCCCTGTGTCCAAAGGCAGATGTAGAACTTGCGTGAAGTTTCCCTGCCCAGTCAACGATGGGGAATTGAAGGGCTGCACCCTGGTGCTTGTGCTCTGTTTTTAAAGCATGCCTGGTGGACAGACCTCTGATTTTCAAGGGCAGGTGCTCACCAGAGGTGCTCCTCTGGCTGGCCTCTGGTGTCCGTCCTTGGCACTAATCCCTAGCCATCCTGCCTCTGGCATTGCAGGCAAGGGGACCATTGGCTGTTGACAGCCCATCCGCCTTGAATTTGCCCTGCATGCCTTTAGAGCTATCCTGGTTGGTGCCAGTGACAACATGTGGTGTGGGAAAATTTATGTACCAAATGCTGAGCAAGAACAGCAATGTCTTTGGGTGATCGTATAAACCTTAGAATACTCTGCTGGGAGAATCTTGGCACTGGGATTTTTTCCTGCCAGACAACTTAGTATTACAGAAAATCTTGTAAATTTGTAGGGACCTTTCATGTGTTTTGTTCTAAAATCTTCCTGACCTTGCCATGCACATGCAAATTAACTCCTCCCTCTTCCTATTAGCTTTACATTGCTCAGCTCCCTGTACCAATGAGAGTAGATCTAAATCCCGGTGTCTGTGAACTCTGCATCACCAGAGGACATAAGTGAAGAACCTAGTTTTAGTCAAGCACACAAAGTAGACAGGTAAGAATGTAAGAGACATTAAGATGAATAGAAGAAATTATCTATCCTGGTTTCCAATGAGTTCAGTGGTTTCAGTATTTAGATCATAACAAGGTTTTCATTTTCTACATATTCCTGAACAGGTGCATGACAAGACAGTGAGAATCAGATGGATCCATGCATCTAATCGTTAGACATAAGCATGAACTGATATTTCCAAATTAAGTGGCATCAGAAAGAAGAAAAACGCCTGTTTCTCAAGGTGTGGAATGCCGGAACTCTTTGTTTCAAAAGTTGCTGAGAGGAAGAGAAGAAAAGAGAGACAAAACTGAGATAAAATATTTAATAGGGAAGAATAGGTAAGGCAGCAGGTCCACCAAAGACCAACCTTTTTACAGCACTGAATGTGGACTGGGCTTCAGGATGAACGGAAGTCTTACTAAACCTGACATTAGACATGTAGGGCAGAAACCCTTTGTATGCAAGGAATGTGGAAAGAACTACAGTCGGAAGTATGCACTTACTTTACGTGCAAGGACTCATACAGGAGAAAAACCATATCACTGCATGGAATGTGGGAAGAGATTCAGTAATACTGGAAATTTTACTGAGCATCAAAAGACCCACACCGGGGAGAAGCCATATCAATGTGTGGAATGTGGAAAGAGTTTTCGTCAGAAGGGTTATCTTTCTATACATGAAAGAATCCACAGGGGAGAGAAGCCTTACAAATGCATGGAATGTGGTAAGACCTTCACTTCCAGTTATTCCCTAAATCTGCATCACAGACGCCACACAGGGAAGAAACCATATAAGTGTATGGAATGTGGAAAGAGCTTCAGTGTGTGTGCATCTCTTACACTGCATCATAGAACTCACACAGGCAAAAAGTTGTATTGCAAGCTACAGCAATATGCAATTCAGACTGGAATCAGGAAAAAACTATTGGTAGGGGAAAATGTAGTCTCTCTTCCTTGTCTCTGAGCTTCCTCGGTTGTCACTTTACTCTGCAGTATTTTCCAATACTTTCCATGGCTCACAAACTGAAATACCTGTCCAGTGAGAAATTGTCCCTTCCGGACAATGATCACATCTGTAGCAGCAAACCGGCTTCCCCTCTGGAACTTTTCTCTGCTGCCCTGGAGAGCACCTCTCCACACACCTTCCAAAAGGCATCTTCTGCAAAGGAAAGCACAAATGGTCAAGGTTAAAGTGACATGCATTGCACAAAATGCGGTGGCTCATTGGAGTTCCCTCTTTCTTTCTGTAAAGAATTGCCCATTGAAGTATATTTGAAATATTTCTGAATGTCTGAAGGTCACTTGAAACCCTCAAACTTGTATGGTAGATAAAAATTGTATTGCTGCAAGCTGAAGGGAGAGGGGTTCCCAAAACCATTCCCTGCTGTTCCATTGACCTCAGGGGGTTCAGTTAACCTATTCACCCCTCCATGCAGTGAATGGCCCAGAGTGCTATATTTCTCTGCATAGAGGAACAAATCTGGTTCAACAACCCTTTGGTCAGGAGCTAGGTTTCCTCCCTTCTCTCTCTCAAACCAAGAGCACTATCTTTGGCCAGAGTTCTTTAGTCCCAGTGCACAACAAGCAAGTATAGCCAGTAAATGTTGTGAGCTGCCCCGAGGCTTCGGCGAATGGGGCGGCATAGAAAAGTTTGAAAGAAAGAAAGAAAGAAAGACCCCCCAAATACGCACAAAGCAGGTTGTTGGACCCAACCCCATCTGAGCTGAGTGCCCAGTCCAGCTCTACTTTTCTCTGGTTTTGTGAGAAAATATAATCTATGTCAGATGTAGAGTCTTTTTGGCTTGCCTCCTACTCAATCAGGGCTTTGATCAAAGTAGGGATAAATGCAACATTCATCCCTGTTCATTTTTTATCCTGATTTCCCAGGCTCGCACTTTCTGGAGTGAACACAGACTCAGATGTAATTCCTGACTTTGCAATATGATTGTCAGGACTTGTCTTATCTATGTTGTAAGCCGCCCCGAGGCTTCGGCGAATGGGGCGGCATAAAAATGTTTTAATAAATAAAATAAATAAAAATAAAATAATGCTTGTATTAGCATGGGGACATTTGGGGAATGCACCTATGAATGCACTCTTATATGGCCACAGAACTGAGGGAGCTCTGCAGTGGAATCTGCAGAAATTTGGGAAGCTGTATTTGACTGATCAATGTGTCCTTTGAGCCATCTGGAAATAAATGCAGGGCACCTCCATAGGAAGATGGATTTTCAGAATTTAATAGCCCCTCTTCCATGGACTCACAAGTCTTTTGGAGGCATCCAAAGAGGAATCTTCCATTCTGAAGGGACAGAGCTGCAACGTTCTTTTGTTACCCCAAGACTCCCAAACATTCACTTCCATCTCACCTCTGTAGCCC